TTGTGTGACTGAGTGCTCTGTAATTTATAGGAATATTTATATATTTATATAATTTTGGGTTTCATTGAATATTTTACATTATTACTGACCAGAAAAGTACAATGCAATTGTACATCGTTCCGATTCCCTTTGTGACTTTTACAATGCCGTAGTGAAAATTGAATCCATTTTGTTTGAGACCGGCGTTTAATATTACTCCTGCCAACGCATTGTACGCATGGTTCAATGCGTCTCAGCTTCGTTTAATATATTACTGTATTCTACTTTCTTTGAATTTGATTTAAATTGGAAAAGTATGTGTCTACGGCGTATACATACTGTAATATTAGAAAACATACCCTGCCACTCTTTTCCTACTAAGAATAAGTGCATTAAATGAGAACTAACCGAATTATGTTGATTACAGCAAGCATAAAAAAGTGATGGTAGTGGCAGAAAGGTATTAATGTACATGCACATCCCGCTCGTTTCTCTATACGATTTCAAAATTCATGTAGAAAATTCATTCAGATGTATATTTAAGGTTTATAGGAACTAATTTCAATCTAAATTTAAAAAATTTTACCGCCAAAACTGCTTTGTTAATTGATGTTTGCTAATTCAATATGTTGTTCAAAATGGTACTAATGCATGGTGTAATCCCAATAACTATTCAAACAAAATCCAAAAATGTGTTACCTTCTTGAAAAAAAATCATAAATACTTTTAAAGACCCCGAAATATGTTAGTAAAATAATCAATTTTAGGACCATAAGAATTAAGTGTTACTAGGGAGTATCCAAAACTAAGCACGAAAATTCAGTGGTTAATAAATCAAATGTCTTACGAAGCGGCTAGAGTTTAAATGAAGATAATTTTTTCATTGCCCAATTTCTACTATATTTGCATCTAGAACTTTCCTTCCTATATTTTATTTGGATCTCTAGCTATTTTATCTCATTCATTCAAAAATTTCGTAAACATTTAAATCCTTAGCTTAAATCCTTGCTGATCAAGAAGTTATTTAAATCCTGACCAAAGTTAATTTATTAAAATATTAACAGAGGAACAACTAACACATAGAACAAGACTAAATTAGCCGTTGTCCAAATTAAAGAGGAGTTATTCCTTAAATACTACTGTACCAACAACAATTGTTTTAAATAATTTCTTTAAGTATAATACCTTTGCATAAATAAAACATTATATTATACGTTTTAGTTTTCAAACTTTATATATTCTTTAAACATTTTTTCTTTTACACTTTTTAGCGATAAGTTATTTGTCTACATCGTAGGATATTCTACGCACGGTTTATTATGATTTTATTTTTATAAATTATACTTGGGAAAAGGTAACCTTGCAGTAACGTTAAGGGCGGCCTTTAAGGCGATTGCATCTACCGCCGAGACCTAAAGAGTTTCGAATGACCGCTGGAGAATAGTGTTATTGTTCCCTTCTCCTTTGTATTCTGCTCTCTCGGCGTAAATTGAATTCTCTCCTATTCATATCAAATACTAACATTATCATTCGAAAAACATTTGTGATTTCTTGCCCTTAATCAGAGCATAACGTTATATCGTCATTATGACAAATGAAAAGTAATAAAAACGTGTTGGATAAAAAATAGATTAGATATATTCAAAATATATGATAATATTTCAACTAAAATTCATATATTTGACTTTCGAATGGTTTGTTTTATTTGTTCTCTTTTAAAAAAATTTCAATAAATTAAAGCATGCTCAATTTAGGCATATTGAGGTATATTTTCTGAAATAGCTACAACTAAACTAAACAACATGGGTTTATAGAATATGCTGAGAATAAAATCTATGTCTGCGAATGCTTCAAATCAGGGTTATATAGGCCTTCATTCATAATAATGACTTGAAACGATGTATAAGGAAATGAAATAGTTTAAATTTCAACCTTAGATTTTCTAAAAAATACGTTACTGTGTCAGAGATCTAGACCTGTCTCAGCTGATGATATAACAATAGCAATACAACAATGGGTTTCCGCACCATACAGCTGATTTATTTCAGATGTAGTCAAAAATACGAAATATAAAATAACACGGTGCAGTATATATAGCAAAACAAATTTTAATTTTTTTCAACAATGACGATACAATGCTTAATTTCGTGATATTACTTCAACCCCATAGATATGTTATCTCTATATTTTTTCACGTATAGCTTAAAAAAGTATATACTATATGGAAGGAAGTTTGTATTTTATGTAAACGTTTACCTACCTAATTAATTTAAAATCACATACACGTAGCCTATATACAATATGTTTCCTTCATACTGCACTGGTACATTATTAGGCTTCCTAGAGTGATACAATCATTGTTTTCCTTTATAAATTGGGACACCACTTAACACGTTTTCTTCTTCAACTATAAACAAATTGAGAATTACGTTTGTGAAATGAATTGTATATAGTACAAAAAAGCCACCCGTGAAAAAATAAACTGTTACTAGATTCAGTTATAATTTAAAGTATCTACTGATAGAGATAGTGTAAAAGAGCTACTACTGTAAACAAAAGAATATTTTTTTAGAACTGTTAACAATGTAACCAGTTTAACCTAACTAAAGATCGATTTGAGAGCTAGAATTATACTCGTAGTTTTCATGTTATCTCACCCATTAGTTACTATAACTTGAACATAACCATTGGACAATGCTTACTTCAAAACTAAAACTTTAAAACCTCCTGAGTAAAAAGTGTTCTAGGTTGACAAAACATACATTAAAAATCCTTGTATCGTACATTATATACTTACAGGGTTTACTAAAAGGTGTGATGCGGGAAATTCTGGTTTCGGGAAAATAAATTAACAAAATATAATGGAATTACATAGAAAACTCTTACATAGATTATCGTTTTGAAAACACAATAATAAGCTAAACGATATGCTTTGTTGATATTGGATGGCTGCAAATGGACCGTCTCCATATTGACTGGCAAATTGGCAATAACGAACTTTCCTACGTTATTTTGCAGCTAAAAGATATTAGCTTTTCTATCAAGCTATTTAATAGAAATAGCTTGCTAATAAATCCTTTTGTTTTTGTCGAAATAAAATAAGTAAATTACTAATATTATATTAACACTTTACTTACAATTAGTTATAGAAACTGCTGATTTGAGTTTATTTCTGAATCTTAAGTCACGAATTGTACAAATTAGTTTATTGAGTTTTAAAAAGAAAATAATGTATAAAACCCTATTTGCTCAGACAGTACGTAACGTTGATTTAATAATGGGAATACCACATATTTGTGAACCTATGAAAACAAGCTTCACCTCAAAAAGCTTTAAATGGTAAATATATTTATATTTCGTTTAATTATGTATTATCCCTACCTGGTCATGCGTATTTAATCAAATTGGACGTTGGGGGAGTTTTAAAGGATAAAGTCCACTATAATTGGACATTACCTTATCCCAAAACGATCATTATCTTTCGAGTTATGCGAACATTTCAGGATATTAACACTAACGTTTGATTTTTTATCACAATTTAGATAAATGTGTAAACGATTTTTCGATATAAAAAGCTTGTAATTCTAATATTATGTTTTACTATGATTTATAATAAGAATTTTATCAATAAAAGTTATTTCGTAGCTCATATTGATCTTGGTACATGTTTTAAAATTATTAACAAAAAGCTGAACCTATTCTTACCAACTAATAAAACAATAAAGTAGGTTCTCATAAAGTTTGTTCATGAAATCGTAGACCTAACATTTGTTTGTTAGTAGGAGAGGTCTAGTTCTACATAAACGTTAAGTAAGTACTAACACAACAATTGTTTAATCGACAGCATATATTATTAAAACACTGCAAGTATTTAATGGTTTAGGTCCATTTGTGTGCGATATTTTAAGTAGTACTCGATTTTCAATAGCAAAAAAATCGTGCTACTTATTGATTTATGACGAAAGTTATGACAATTAATATACTCTGATAAAATTGAATTCTTACAGCATTAAATTTTATTTTATTTTTACCACGTACTTAAAAATACATCAAGATGACATGATAGACGTTTTACTCATAAACATTCATGGAAAATGTATGATTAGTTAAATAAAAGTGTTATTTTCTCGTCCACAAGATCTAAAAGTTTCTACTTGAAAAGTTATTTGCAAGTAGGTCTAGCTGCCACGCACTGCTCTAAGTCAATGCTTAAGAGCTCTCGACTCACCTAAATTTACTGCTCAATTTGATTCCCAAGAGTCCAATTACTTTACTTCATATTATCTTCATCCTAATATTTCACGAATTATTTTAATACGAAGTAATCACTCAGCTTTCTTGCGTAATGATTCAATCATAGGTTTAATTTATATTGAGATAGTTGTTACTCAATTATTAATACTTTAATTGCAACAATTTTTTCGAAGAACCATTTTTTCAAAAATTATATACCATGTAAACTTTTTACTTTTTATAGCTTTAGTTATTTAATAATACATTTAATTATATGTTTTTAAAATGCTAGCAATATCATATTACTTAAATCATAATTACTAGTCTGGGAAAAACGTATTTACCATACGAAGACAGTGTCTTTTAAGTGAAATCGTCATGAGTACAGTAAACATATGTTGTACAAGTGACGTATGACACTTTTCACCATACTTCACTAAACTAACAACAACAATAACAAAAATACAATCGGAATCTGAAACACTATTGAAATTCATTAAATTTTTCCCTGTTTTAATAATTTTTCACCTTACTAATACAATGGAAAAACCACAATTCATAACTCTGGTAACAATTAATTGTTTTGTTCGCACAAATATAAAGAAAAATTATAAGAATGCTGTAAAAAGCTAGGTCAATTTACAAGTTTGAGATCTTAAGTGTTCAACTTCTTGAAAGTCAAGTTAAGATTTTGGAAAATTTTAATTTATTTTGGTAAGTGAACTAATATGAATATCATCATGCGTATGTAAAGGATAATTTGTAAATATATTTGAAATTTGTTTCAGGTTTCAAGACTCTATGAAGGATTTCCTGTAAGTTTATATCATTAATTGGAGCTGAAACTTGTGTTAAATAACGATATTATATTTTACACAAGCAAAATGGTCGTAAATATTTAAGTTTTTACAGTTAGTTATGTCAAACATTTTTTTCAATGTCCTACCTTCACATCCTATGACATATTCCCTTACCGTCTTATGCACGACTTCAGGCCAGTCCTAGAAGGTTGCTGTATCATCACATAGATATTATTAATTGGTAATTGGCGAGATTTGAACCCGGAACCTTAGGCTACGAAGCTTGCCCTAACCACTAAACAACTCCCTCCCTATTTTCCAAACATTAGTAGTGTAATATGTTTAAAACCCTTTTTGAGTTTCAGTCGTCCCCTGTTACTCACTAACTTTGATTAAAAACTTTGTATCAGTAACTGAATAATCTTAATAATAAGTAATTAATAATTCAATCCTCCTGAGTATTTAAATACATATTTTTACCTCAGAATTAAATCTGAGGGTATATCTTGTTTACGTCAAAGAGTAGTGGTTTAAGGAAGATTAGGAAAGAATCTAATTTAGTACATAAAAAGTAATAAGTTTTATTTATATGTTTTAATAGTGATTAGAAATCAATTCTTTTCACCCAGATTCGAATTATATGATTTTGATACGTTAACGTCACTACTTATATTTTGTGTAACGTTTAAGCCTACTTCTTTTAATAAATTAATTAGGCAGTAAAATATACGGTGGTTTAACCACTGTTAAACGATAAAGCATTTATGTTACCCAAGCATTTTCTAATATTAAATGTTTTATGATATTTTAAGAAATTTGAATTTTCAAACAGTTTGTTTTTGTAAATTTTAAAGACTTGATTTGTATTACCGATTTACGTTGAAATGAATTGCATTTTGAATTATTGACTTTTTAACTTTAGATGTAAGACGGTTTTGTAACTTAAAGTTTAGATAAAAGTATCGACAAAACGGTCAAACGCTATCTCCCTTGACCACAAAAGCACAAGTCTTTTGTTCACTTTTCCTTTGTATCACACGAACTCTCGTGGGAAGTGGGTTTCTTTTAACGGTGAAATGTCATTATCTGAAATCTAACATTGATAGAAATTGAATGGACTGGAATATATTGGTTCCTATGGTTCTCTAGATAAACTTATCATTTTGGTTACTTTACGTTTATTGGGGGAGCAAGCTGGTCTAGTAGTAGAACGCGGGATTTCGTTACTTAAGGTACCAGTTTCAAATTCCACCAAAATCACCAATGGATTTCATCTAAATGATAATGCAAAAAAATATTTTTTTTATCAAAACTACAAAATGCTATGTTATGAAATAATTTTTGTCCAAATCAATTTGAAAACTAATATTTGATGCAAGGTACTGTGATCGTTTTAACGTAAGAGAATATACAAAATAAATTACAAAACTTGCTATGAAAATTATGAAAATATATTGAGATTGTTTGAATACCAAATGGTATAATTTCACTTTTTTAAGGCTTTCAGAGTTATGATAAAATGTCAAGAATAACTATTTTAATGTAGATTGTTTTTATTTTCGTAACGATTGTGTAAATTATTTATTTACTTAAGTGGTTTGAGCATGGAAGTATAAATGAAACATAAATTATTTAACAAATCTTTTTCAGTTTTTACGTAATAGGATTTCATAGAATAAATTACTTTAGGAACCAACTGTTGATTTACTTTAATAAAGCAAGAGATTCTTTTACAATTGGGATTTTCTTCTGGCAAAAAAAACTGCTCTTAGGATTCTAACGGTATTTCGCCCGACGATATTGGAAGGCCCTGGGGCGTTTAAACGGACGGGTTGAACCTCAATTTAACAAGATTTTCTGCTCAGTTAAACTCAAAGCTGTCCATTCCACTCCACTCTTTTTAAATGTTTAACATATTTCCTTACAAATTGCGAATACCAACTGGTTCAGTAAGTATCACCTAGAAATTAAATATTATGATAAAAAACATTTTTACACAGTTACTATCTCAAATTTAAATGCAAACAAAATTTTACTAACTATAAGTAATAGTTTTGAAATATTTTTAAATGGAATAATTTAAACTTGGCATGTGAGCGCAATGCTACCAGTATAATCTTAAAGTGACGTTAATCATTACTTGTTATAAATAAAAGGTTTTCAAGTTCAAAATCATCATATTCTTTTTACAATTATTATCTGACAATATTTTACTAATAGTATATTTTCTTGTTATCCATAATTAGAGGTTTAATTTAAGTTAATTTTGTTTTGTTTAGGAACTAATAAATTCCTTGTAATTAAAGTTTTTTGTATGACCACCATTGTAATTTAGTCAAAGTAGAAATTCCAGCCATTTAAGAGCTACACTGTTTAAATATTTCTCAAATTCTTTGTTTTTATGTGTAAATATTTCAAAATAATACTCAAAAAAACAAAACAAAGTGGTATAATGAAAATATGAACTTTACCTTCAGAATATCCTATTCACCTCTGTATTCGTACGTGCTTAGCATCATGTTATTGAAAATTTAATTTTAAAACATTTCATCCATGAAACATACATTATACATTTTCCGTTATTATTTTTCTCTTTCGTTTTATGCAATTCACGTTTTCAATAACCAAGCTTTGGATGTCAAGCTCTCAAATAAGGATAATAATAAAAACATTTCTTTGGAAACAATTTTCGGCATTTTGAATGGTAATGAAATAACCTCAAAAGCGCGTACCTTATATTCTATACCTGCCTGTCATATTTTATTTATGAAAATATATGTATCTTGACTTAACTCTTATTTAAATCTTTGTGGTTTCACGTGCGATTTTTCACTGTGTTTTATTTGCCACAAAAGCCAATACTCTCGTCCATTGTTACGATGTAGCTTACAAAGCACCGGAGTGAAATTTGAATCAATTTAGTTTGAATCCGTCCTTTAATATGAGTCTTGCCTACGCATTGTACGCAAGAACAAATGCATTTAGGTCATGTTTAAAATATTACTGTCTTCTTACCCTTACTTACTGGCTGTGAATCGGTGCAAACGATAAATGCAATTTATCGATTGGAATAAAATTTGTCTCATTTGTATTAAAATTGTACCTTTTTGGTTTAAGAGATCAAAATATAAATCTATCTATCTAGATATTAATAGGCAAGCATGTTTCTTTAAAACCTTTTTTCTCAGCCCGTGTGCATCGCAGGGAAAATCTAAGCATACCATTAGAAATATATTTTCCTGTAGAAGTGCAGAAATCCTTTAAAAATTAAAATAGGCTCAAATATAACCACAAAAAATGAATTTGAAATTTTAAAAATTTAACATGAGCTTTATGGGTTGCCATGCTGGTGACGAAATAACAACGAAATATAAACAGAAAATCAAAACAAATAAAAGAAATTCCAATCACATGTTTTATTTACAGCGTAGGGTAAATATAGAGAAAGCTTTTTGAACGAGCAAAAGCAGCCTGTTATGACCCATCAACTTTGTCAGCAACAAAAAATAAGGTAGACAATATAATTTAAGACACGCTTTCGGTTAATGGCTCACAATGTACATGTTTTTTTTTATAAAAAAGATGACAGCTGGTTCATAGAAATGGGATGTCTACTTCAATATCCAATAGTCAATATGTGTCATTACATGTTTTTGGTCGAGTTTTCGATCACTGGACGACCACTAGTTCCTAATTAATATGTTGGGGATAACATTTTTTTAACTTTTTGTCTTGTTCCAAAATCATATGGACACTAGTAAAAATCCTTTCCAAAAACATAGTACAGTTACACACTATGTTCAGAGTCATGACGATAAAAGACAAAATGAATTTAAATTATAGTTTCCCTTAACAATGCTTTATTGTGTCAAGACATCTAGGCCTGTCTCAGCTGATGACATAACAATGTAACAATACAACAATGAAGACTCAAACGAAACAGCTGATTTATTCCAGTGGAAGACAATAAAATAGAATTATAGAAATATATCAAGTGAATTAGAGGTTATTTTTAGTACACTTTCCTTACACTTAAGGAGCAATGAAACCATTGAAAATATGCATCTATTGTAAGTATAAAGTTTTTCTCCGACTTTCTAATAATCTATTTATTACTCTATTTTAAAACGTATTAAAAATAATATTATAGATTAAATAAGTTAAAAGCAAATACAACCCTACCTACTCCCTAGTAATGTATACATAGCTAGCGTTCTTATTAATACTTATGATTATGTTTTTTAATGTGCAAAAATTTCTCTGATGTAGGCCTATTTTAGAAATTATTTTAAAATATTACTAAGAAAAGGTAGTTTAAGAAAATGGTTTGATTTTCAGTAGTTTAGAGCCTTTATACATCATTCAATTTCTTATTAGTAAAGTTTCATAAAATTTATCTTTCCATTTCTACAAGCTTTAATCTTTTGTTCAAACGAAACACATTTTTGCTTGTTTTTTTTGCTTTTTGTCAAGTTATTAAACTTAACATCTGTATGGTCTGATGCATGTCAACTTTTACCTACTTTAATGGTGTATTGCATTTAGTTACAATTTCTAAGAATCTAAGGGTACGAGTTCATCACTTTCCCAAAATGTTGATATACCTGATGATTACAGAGGAAGTTTTACAAAGTAACTTCGTAGCTTATCTTAACGGCGCTATAACAGCTGATATCAATAACTGTCGGAGGAGCTACTGCATCGAGGGATAAGCTGTCCCCATTTGTGAGGATAATGGTCACATACTCATCACTACGTGAAATCACAGTTTATCGGTATATACATTATACAAATTGTACTAATTGTATCTGGTTTAACCTTTGTTGAACTAGGTAATAAGTACAATGAATCTAAAAAGTCAATGACACCAATGCCAATGAACTGTAAGTTAGTTTTTGACCCCACCAACATATTACCCCTCTTTTCATTTGACTTGTGTAACTTCTTAACCCATTGCTTTCCCTTCGTAGTTTCAAAGCATATTCTAGGGGTTTCCACAGTTAGTTTAAACTCTT